ACATTCCCTATATCTGTCGCTACCAGAGGATACGGCCCAACTGCCCCAATATCTAAGGAATCTTGTAGAGTTACCGGCAGTGACGGAACTAGGTTCAAAACTCCGGGGGCAAAGTTTTCTCGTTAGCGCATTTTCTACATTCGTTCCTTATTTGAACTAAAAACAATTTGTTTGAAAAAAATTGTAAGAACTTGGTTCACTTCCATCTATTCGATGTCATCGTAACATCTTTGATACCCTTTGACAACATAGTGGGGTGATAAAAAAAAAAAAAAAAATGGTACAAGGTTAATTTTAGATAAAAAATTTAATTTTTATGAAAAAATATAATTTATATTATATACCTTTAAATTCGAACCAATAAAAATATTATTTAGATGAACAAAACCTGTATTCTTATATAATATAATTATAATTAAAAATATAATAGATTGTTATAAATTTAAAATAATAAAATAAAAAGTAAAATAAAATACTAAACATGAACTAAGAAGAGAAAAAGGGAAGGGGGTGGGGGGCAAAATTCATATATTAAACTTAAAATTTTCACCTTTTATATTAAAATTCATTTTTTTCTTAGGCTTGGGGTTCAAGTGCCCCTCTAAGCCTTTTCTTGGTTTCGTCCATGGTTACCGGAGCAGGAACAATCTCATGACAATGTGTGTCTGCCATGTGATGTTTCGTAAAGCATGGCGGTGGTGGCGAGGCCAATGCAGCACAGCTTCTAAAGCAATGTATATGTAGCAATGTTAATAATTGAGTAATTCCTTAGAAAAACTCTATCTTATATTCTAATGTAACTTCAAGCTCCTTCAAACTATCATTTGCGTTATATCACCTTTTTACATTAGAATTGATATAAATATGCATTACAGTATAATAATTTTCTTTTATGTAAAGTTTTAGAAGAAAAAAAATGAGTCTAGAGAATGTGGGATGAAATCCTCAGCCTCGGTGCAATTCAGTCCCTCCCGCCATATCAATTAAATGGTGTCAAGTGTTATATTTTTTTTAATTTAACATTAAACCTTATTATTTTTTTGGTCTTTTTTTTCCCATATTTTAATTATTCTATCTATTATTATTTTTAAATTTAAGGTCATTTTCCTTTCTGCATCCGAACATATATTTGTATATATACATTTTATTTTCTTCTCCCAAAATGTGATGGTACGTCTGGATCAACAACGACGACATTTTTTTGTTCTTTCAGTGAAGTAACATTGATTTATTGATAAATACCTTTAATTCCGTTGATATGTTGCACAATCATTTTCCTATCTTGTTATATATATATATGGTCCACAATGATTTATTATTCTTGTATCATACTGTAGTTGTTGGTATTGAAAATAATGATAACAATGATATGGCTTTTTTGTTTTTTTAAAAAGAAGTTGCAACATATTCTTAAAAATAATAATCCTAGAGTTGGAATTGACGTTAATGTAAAATAACCAAGGGGAGTCCATTCTTTAGCATGATTTCATTATGTTCATTGGGTTTGTTTGATTATGGTTTGAAATTAATTTGAATTTTTGTTTAAATAGTATTTTGTAGTGATGTTTAGCGAAGAGAAAATAGTATATTTTTAGATTTTGTTCTCTTGAAATATTTTGCCAAACTTTCACTTTTCATAAAAAGTTTTCCCCAAAATCTCAAATTATTTATTTATTTTTAATTTTTTATATTACACTAAAAAGTAATTTTACATGCTATTTATATTTATTATACAACTATTTAAATTCAAAAAGTTTTCAATTTAAATCCCAAACACAAAATCCAAACCCTTAAACAAACACATATACTATAAAAAAGTATTGTAATATTATATTATATTCACAATATATATATATTTCCCCTTTTATCATTCAAAATAAAAGTATTTTATATTAAATAAAAGTTTATATATTTTTTATTTTAAACACAAATCAATATTAAATATCACATTAATATACTATTGTTGTGCTGAAATTTGGTCGATGACGGCCCAAAAAATTTAGGTCGGTCGAAATCGACAAGAATTTGGGTTCTCGGCCTACTCAAAAAAGTATCATGGCTAGTCTCACAATAGATGTAAATGCATAAAAATTAATTTACTGGATTGTGAATTAAAAATAAAATAGATGTACGAATAAGACTGAATTGGATTCGATAAAAGAAAATATGCATGAATTTGGTAACGATATTCAAGTAAAAAAACAAAGAAAGGCAATGAGATTGTGCATGGAAGGAAAGCAAATAAATTGAATTGCTGCTCTTGACTGGATCGGATGATAGAAAACAAACTATGTACTAGAGTTTTAAGCAAACTAAAATATAGCAAAAAGAATTTAACATCAATAAATGCAATTGAAGGAAAGAAATAAAACAAAGAAAGAATATATTTTTATTGGAATTATGGGTTGTGGTGTAGTGTTTTATTTAAATTAAAAATCAAGCACAATCAAAATACAATACTTATAAAATAATTAAAGTAATGTATATGATTAATATTAATATATAAAATAAAACATATATATACAATTAATTAAGTAATTAAAAAATACATAAGGAAATGTATTTAATAATATAAATATAGTAAATCATAACATAGTAATTAAAGATATTAGATAATAATAATAATAATAATAATAATAATAATAATAATAATAATAATAATAATAATAATAATAATAAATAGTTTAGAATAAATTTATAATATAAATAAATAAATAAAAATTATATATATGGTAGAACTATCTCTTTAACCCTCTAAAAAATATGAATAATAGCGATAGAACTTTTCGAAGCGGTCTAAAAAAACGTTCACTCAAACTTAGCTAAAGTATCTCGAAATATTCTAGAATCTTTCTGGAAGATTGTAAATAATGAACCGGAACATTCTAGGTTCGTCTATAAAAGAACCTCCCTCCTTATAAAAAAATCTTTTTAGAAGGTTGCAAAACACGATGGACTATTTGTAACTCCTAGAATATTCTAGGTTCGGGTAAAGTCCCTTTCATTTGTATCGTGAAAGCGTTTTGCAAATTTCTATTTTTGTGGGTGCTTACGAACTAGGAAAAGATATATATCCAGGCTTTGATTATGGTTTATTTTGTGATTAGGATTTCTTTGATTGATTCTGATTTTATGGTATGTGCCTTTTGAGGTTGATTTATTTTAAGTTTTTCCATCTTCAAATTATTTTAATTTTTTTTTCATATGTAATTGATTTTAATTTGCTTGTTTGTTTTGGTTGAATTTTTCCATCTTTAGATGATTTTAACTTTTTTTTTATATTTAATTGATTTTAATTTGTTTGTTTTGCTTGCTTTAATTGGAGCAATGAGATTAGACAAGACGAGTCATTCATCGGAGGCTGATTCTAAAATATATATTTTTTTTTATTGGAAAATAAAATGTGTATAAACTATTATTCCAATTATTTTTACTAATTTATCACATAGAAAATTTTGAATGAAATTATAGAAGGCACAATACACACAGAGAATAGATAAATAAATAAAAGAGTAAACTCCTTAATAAAATGTAGTATGTGAGACCGTTGTATTTGTTTTATTCGACTATTAAACAACCCCACACACGGATTGTTATACTAATTATTTTGTTTATCCAACACATAAAAATATAAAACTCGTATAGTTTGTCAGTTGCGAAACCATTTACAAGCACACTAAAAAATAGAACGTTAAATTGTCCATCCACGAGTTGTTATCCTAATTGTTTTTTATTTGATCCAATACATAAAAAATAAAATGGATATAAATTGTTACCGCAATTATTTTTAACAACCACATGTCTTTTGTAAAACTACTTAGTACATTAGAAAATAAAATTTTGAACCACCTTACATACATATTGAGTCCGTTCACACATTTACATATGAAATAATTTTTGGTATGCGGTACGAGAAACTATGTAAAAACACATAAAATATAGTATTATTTTAAGTTGAATGTTTGACTTTTTTATTTTTTTAATGACTTTTTGATTTTTTTATAATAAATATTTAATTTTTCTTTTTACTTTTTGATTTTTGTATAAAATATTTTATATATTTTTATTATTATTTTTTAAAAATCACAATTAAAAAATAATATTGAAACGACACAAGACAGACACGTCAATCAAATTAAACTTGAATTATATATATATATAAATATAAATATGAACAAAGTGTATATATAAGCAATAAAATACATGACAATTTGACAAAAATAGAGTAAAGAGAGTATTGAACAAAAATAGAGAGACCTCAATCAAGTTTGTGTGTTTGTTTGTTGGTCTCTATTTCTGTGATCAATTTCCTTCCAACTTTTTATTCCTTTTTATTATTCAACTAAATTTTTGTTTCTAAAAATATTAAATTAAATATATGTTTTTATGTTTTATATTATACTTAAATTATATATACATTAAGTCATTAAAGGTGTACTTGTTTGAAGATTTGAATTTGTGTTTAAAATTTTAAATAATAAAATTTTAAATTTGAATCATGATGTTAATATAAATAGATATGGATACTATATTTTAAATGTAAAATTAATACTATAATATAAAAATAGATAAATATTATAAATTTGATAAAATTTTCTATAAAAAAATACACCTTAAAAAACACATCAATAGATAGTACAATTATTTCAATTACAAAATTTTATTATTCAAAAATAAAATTTAAAATTCAATTTCAAATTACATCTATTTACATTTGATATTAAAAAAATGTATCATAACACATTTTATAAAAAATAAAAAATAAAATTTAAAATTTAAAATCCAAATATTACAAATCAGAGTTTGAGCCCAAATCTAACCCTCTATTTTAAGTCCAAGTCAAAATGTCAGTAACCCTAACCCCAAATACAGTAACCTAAAACCTAATTCTCAATTTCCCATCTTTCTCACCTCCTTCCTCTCCTCGAGGACCCTCACTCCTCATCTTCTTCTTCCCCCTCTTTCCCTTTCTATTGTGTTTCTTGTAACGGAATCGGACCGAGGAGCCTGTCCAACTCGGCCGTTTTGCCAACCACATCGGTTGCTTGTGTGTTCTTTATGGTGACTGAGCTGCATGATGCAAGTAAAGATTTTTTTTTTTTTTTGTCTGTGAATTAACCTTGATTGATGCGTGTTTGAATCGTAATGCGATAGATTGATGTGATATTTTGTTTGGAATGTGTGAGAAATGGAGCAATCGGTAAAATGCAACCTAGAAATGGTGAAGTAACCTGAAATTTATTGATTTGAACAGTCTCAAGATTTGGTTAGACTGTGTGTGCGACGGCATTGCCTTTTGTTTGTCTTGAAGCATGTTGTGAGTGTGACTTGAACCTGTAGGTTATTTTTTTACTCTAATTTGTCGTTATGCATTAGAGTTGCAGAAATTGAGTCGGTATCTAGGAGTATATTTGGACTGAATCTTGATTAGTTTTCCATTGCTATATTCTTAAATGTTGGCATACCATAGAGTATATTGTTACTTGTGAGTGATGAAGGTTACACGTAGATCAATCATTGATTAATACACGAAGGTGGTGGGAATGATTTGGAGAATTTTGATTGCAACATTTGTGATTGCAACTTTTATGTTAGCGAGTTCATTTTCTCCGCGTAAAAATCCAATGGATAATCTATTACAAAATCTTGTGTGAAGCCAAAGCCATATGATTTTCAATAAAGGTTCTTGTGCGGTAGTATTCCTATATATTACTGGTTGAATCTAAGATGATAAGTAGCCACCTAGTGTGGAAACATAAACTACCTAGTGTGGCAAGTCACGACATTTACTTGGTTATTGATATCTTGCTTCTGCGCTATGACTTTAATATGCTTGGTGAAGCTTTTATTACTTATTCAGTTTTATCTGTGAAACAATTTCTCTAAATTCTCTTTGTTTGCTCAATATTTATGCTTGACATTTGGAAGTGTCATGCATGCGGCAAATGACCCGGGATCTTGCGGCAGGATGCAAGTTTCAGAGTATTAACAAACAATGCCCTATTATGTATTGTCAGAAGTGTCTCTTGAACAGGTTCTCTTTATCATCTTTTTGTTATGATGATTTTGAATTCAACATGTCATTGAATACTTGGACAATCTAATTTTATTGTGACGATTTCATCCAAGTTAGATATTGCGAGACGGCTGAAGAAGTAGCTAGTTTGGAGCAATGGACTTGCCCCGAATGCAGGGGCAGCTTTGGCATGTGAGTCTTCTGAATTATTACTGAATGACTTTGCAGCATTTTTCTGATGGCGTAATTATGCATTGATAGGAAAAAGGAGGTGACAAACCCGCTGGTATCCTCACCAATGAAGCAAAAGCTAGAAGATCTTCCTCTGTATCTGAAATGCTACTTAGAACGACGCCCTGCAAGCAAATTTGCTGCAAGAAAGGCAGCTTCTTCGAATTGCATGCATGATTTCCTATTTTTTCACATGGACTGCCACGTGCACCAAAAGTTATTTCTCTTGTTAATGACGTGGCATAGTCCTTCAAAAAACGCATGACTTCTTAAAGCGCGATTTTAAACTTTGAAATAAGGATTTACCCCTTTCGCTTTTTTCACCATTATCAGGGTATTTATATGTCCAAAAGGGTAAACTCATTTATAAATCACACATACGGAGACCCTGAAAGCCTAGCCATACGAAGTATCCGGCGGCGCCGCGCATCCTTCATTGACCTTCCGTCAGCAACCCTCGTGTTCTCCGTTGATTGGCTTTGGCTTCTCTGAGATCAACACTCCGCATTCCTTCCCGGCACCCCAGTAGCAGAAATGGAATCAGTTATATTCTTTTTATTATATGAAATAGGTTTTGGAATTTGGATGATGTTTTGTAGAAACTAAGAATTCAGCTGCTGTAAGAACAGAGCCATTAGTGGTTGGATCTGGTGGCCATGTATACTGTAAATCAAACTGTTTGCGAGATTCTGAAGTGCTGCATCAAAGTAAGTCGCTTAATATTTTGAATGTGAAACAGTTTGGATGTTATGTTTCTATAAAGAAAGAGTTGTTGATGTTGTGGCTTTTCAGTTGTGAAAAATATTTTAACAGTATGATAATAATAACTAGAATTGAGACAAAAACACAACCTTTTGATACACATATATTTCCCTTGTTACTCTCAAAATACATTGATGTGGTTGTTTGGAGGTTAGGATTTTGAGTTGAGATTTGAATAGTAAAAATTTTGAATTTGAATAATTTGTATGATGTGATATAAAAATGAAAAATATGTATTTGAATTTAAATAGTTTAAATGTTAAATTGAGTTTTAGTATAATATAAAAAATGAAAAATATGTATTTGATTTGACGTTTTTGAGAAAAAAAATTAATGAATAGTGAAAATTTTAAAAAATCCTCTAATCAAAGACACCCCCAGTGGTTGCATTCTCAAGATTGTTCTTTTGTTTGCATGTCTGATGAACATCCGCCAAACCACCAGTCATTCGTCAGAGGCTGATCTAAAATATATATATATATATATTGGAAAATAAAATGTCTATAAACTATTATTCTAACTATTTTTACTAATCTATCACATATAAAATTTTGAATGAAATTATAAAAAGCACAATACACACACAAAATAAATATATTAATAAAAAGAGAAATAGTTAATAAATTATATTATGTGAGACCGTTATATTTGTTTTATTCAACCACATCAAAAAGTTAAATAATAATTAGTTCACACAAGGATTGTTATCCTAATTATTTTTTTTATCCAAAATATAGAACTCGCATAGATTGTCAGTTGAAAAACTATTTACAAGCACACTAAAAAATAAAACTTTAAATTGCCTGTCCACAAGTCCTTATATTAATTGTTTTTATTTGATCCAAAAATAAAATGGATATAAATTGTCACTGCAATTATTTTTACCATCCACATGTATTTTGTAAAACTACTTAGCATATTAGAAAATAAAATGTTGAACCACCTTACATACATTTTGAGTCCGTTCACAAAGCACTTAGATGAAATAATATTTGGTACGTGGTATGAAAAATTATGTAAAAAAATATATAAATATAGTACTCCCTCCGTCCCATACAAGGTGTAACATTTGCTTTTGGCACGGATTTTTAGGTGGATAGTATTAAGTAGGATAATTTAGAAATCGGGTCATGTGATGGAGAGAGAAATATATATTTTATTTTTTTATTTGGATGATGCGAGGGGATAACGTGTGAGGTAGAGATTAAGTATAATTAATTATTTCTTATTTTGAAAATGTTGCAGGGTGTTTGGGACATACCAAAAACGAAATGTTCGAGGGTGTTTGGGACGGAGGGAGTTATTTTAGAGACTATTTGACTTTTTTATTTTCTGTAATAACATTTTGACTTTTTATAATAAGTATTTATTTTTTTATTTTTTTTACTTTTTTCACTTTTGTATAAAATATTTTATTGTATTTTATTATTATTATTTTTGAAGAATTGCAATTGAAAAATAATATTGAAATAATAGAACAATTGTTATTTCATATGTTTTTATTTTTATCCGCACACAAAAGAATAAAATGAGCATGCAATTGTATATACCAATTGCTACTACACTTACCCGCCCAAGCCGGTTTGCCATTACAAATCGTGGTCGTGGATCGATCTAGATCATTATAGATTTATCAATGAATCATTAGAATATACCAGTCAAATATCAATATATATATATACACATATATATACAACTTGTTACGATTTATGGAATAAACTATATTTTCATTAAGTCGTAACTAGGGTACAATATTATATTTATACAAGAGATATATTAGGTAGGATATATATATCAATATATAAAATATATATACAATATATATATCAACATCCCCCCTCAAACTCAAGGTGGAACGGTGGAACCCAACTTGAGTTTGCTAAAAAATGACTGAAAACGGCCGGGAATGTGAGGTTTGGTGAATCCGTCGGCCGTCTGATCAACAGAGGAAATAAGAGACAAGAAGATGCTTCCATGAGCAACGTGATGACGTACAAGGTGACAGTCGATCTCAATGTGCTTCGTACGCTCGTGGAAGACATCATTTGTCGAAATCTTCATGGCGCTCTGACTGTCGCAATGGATAATAGTGGCAGAGGGCTGAGGCACTCCAAGATCAGCCAGAAGCCAGCGAAGCCATAGAAGCTCGGCAGCGGTATGGCAAGGGCTCTATATTCAGACTCTGCACTGGACCGGGAGACAACCGTCTGTTTCTTGTTGCGCCATGAAATAAGCGAGTCGCCAAGGAAGAAGCAAAACCCGGTGGTCGAGCGGCGATCAGAGGGATCTCCCGCCCAATCAGCGTCAGAATACCCGGTCAAAACTAAGGAGGAACGAGCGGAATAATGAAGCCCATGAAGAAGAGTACCTTTGACGTACCGGAGAATCCGTAGGACAGCAGAATGATGAGTCGTCCGAGGAGCAGACATAAACTGACTGACGATATGGACGGCATAAGCAATATCCGGTCGAGTGACAGTCAGGTAGATGAGACTTCCCACTAGCTGACGATACAAAGTCGGATCATCAAGGGGAACGCCGTCCATCGGAGTAAGACGACAGTCAGAATCAAGAGGTGTAGGGGCAGTCTTGGAGTCAGTGAGACCGGCACTAGATAGGAGGTCGGAGGCATACTTGGCTTGAGAGAGATAATATCCGTCGGAGGTGTCGGAGATCTCAAGTCCTAGGAAGTACCGAAGAGGCCCTAAACTCTTCATCTCGAAGTGACGGTGTAGATGAGCCTGCAACTCGGAGATACCTGATGCATCATCTCCCGTAATGATCATGTCATCCACATAAAGCAATAAAATAGTAATTCCAGCTGACCCACGTCGAAGGAAAAGAGCCGAATCATGATCACTAGAAGTAAAGCCAAGCTGGAGTAGAGCAGAGCTAAATTTCGAAAACCAAGCTCGAGGTGCCTGTTTCAAACCATATAGGGCACGGCAAAGTTTGCATACCTTGGAAGAGGTAGGAAAACTAGGAGGAGGAGACATGTAGATATCCTCGGATAAATCACCATGCAAGAACGCATTCTTGACATCAAGCTGATGCAGGGGCCACCGACGAGCGGCAGCGATGGCGATAAGACAGCGGACAGAGGTGAGACGAGCAACCGGGGCAAATGTCTCCTCATAGTCGATACCATACTGCTGGGTGTAGCCTTTGGCTACCAAACGCGCTTTGTAGCGCTCGATAGATCCATCAGAGTGAGTTTTGATTCTGAATACCCACTTGCAGCCAATAGGTTTCTTGCCAGGGGGAAGATCAACCATATCCCACGTATGGGTTTTCTCCAAAGCCTGCAACTCCTCAGACATAGCCTGCCGCCACAACGGATCCGCATACGCCTCACGAAAGGACCTGGGCTCATGATGGGACAAGGTGGCAGAGAAGCAGTGATAATCAAGTAAGTGAGTAGGAAGGTGACTAACTCGAGTGGAACGACGAGGGCGAGGATCAGGGGCTGAGATCGAAGTCGTGTCAGGCTCTGGTGGTGGTGATGTATCGGAGTCGAGAGTAGGAGTAGGCTCGGGGATCAGCGGCGGTTCAGGAGGCGCAACCGGGACAGCGTCAGGAGCGGGAGACGGAGACGGAGCCGTGTCACTGGAAGGGAATAGGGGTGGAGAGGACAAGGCAAAGAACGGAGACGAACGATCAAAGGGGACTCGGAAGTGGGACAAGGAAGAGAATTTGGTATCCTCCCAAAATGTGACATGACGAGAAATACGTAGCCTATTGGAAATGGGATCCCAACAACGATAACCCTTATATTCTAACCCGTAGCCCAAGAAGCAACACAGACGCGCGCGAGGTTCTAATTTAGTGCGCTCATGAGGAGGGAGGAGGACAAAACTGACACAACCGAAAGGGCGGAGAAGACTATAATCAGGGGTACGATTAAATAGTCTTTCAAAAGGACTGACATTACCCAGGACAGAGGAAGGGACACGATTTATAGTGTGGACAGCGGTGAGTGCGGCTTCCCCCCAAAAGCGATCTGGACAAGAGGCAGATAAGAGAAAGGTGCGGACTGTATCGAGGATATGTCGGTGTTTACGTTCGGCGCGACCATTTTGTGGAGAGGTGTATGGGCAGGAGCGTTAGACAGCAGTACCTTGATCAGATAAGAAACTAAGAAATGATGAATCAGTATACTCAAGAGCATTATCTGTGCGGAGAGTTTTTATGGTAGAGGAAATTGGGTATGTATCATTTTAGCAAAGGTCATATAAATAGATGGAAGTTCAGAACGATGCCGCAGAAAGTAAATCTATGTAAAACGAGAATAGTCATCAATAAAAATCACAAAATAACGAGAACCATTCATAGACACAGCTGGCGAAGGTCCCCAAATATCCGAGTGAACTAAGGAAAACGGAGTATCCGCAATGGAAGTACTATGAGGAAACGACACAACAGGTTGTTTTCCCAACGAACAATCCACACAATGAAAAGACTCAAACTTAACAGAACCCAAACTACCCTGACTAATCAAAGACCTGACTTTATTGGAAGACGCATGACTGAGACGATGATGCCACTGAAGGCATGATGGTGTAGAGGTGGTGGCAGCTGAGATAGAGGGACGAGGGACCTGGAGTGACGTAAGTTCAAATAAGTGGCCCGTCTTCCGGCCCTTCCCAAGAGTCCGCCCGGTTTGCGCGTCCTGAACTTGCACACCAGTAGAAGAAAATATCACGGTGAGACCTTGATCAACTAATTGACCAATGGAAATCAGATTTAAGGTTAATTGAGGGATACAGTATGTGTCGGGGAGAGATAAGGATGAGGTGGATGTATGTGCGGTATGGGTGATGCGCATATGGGTACCATTGGCAGTAAGGATAGGAGGTAAGGATGGTGCGGTGGATGTGGAGGTCATAAGGCGTATATCAGAGGTCATATGATTACTACAAACAGAATCAAAATACCAAGGAGAGTTACCTGATGTGGTAGACATGGCGGTATTGGAAGATAGAACCTGTTTAAGAAGAGCTTCCAGGTCCTGAATCGTAGGAAGAGCAGGCGCAGGCGCAGCAGAGGCTGTGACAGAGGAGGTACCAGACTGAGGTCCACGAGAATGCCGAGGCTTGTAGTTACTACTGCCAGAGCGAGACGGCCTAGTGGGGCAATACTGTATAGTATGGCCTAAAACATGACAGTAGTGACACTCCACCTTTGGGCAATGACCGAAGTCATGATCAGAGGACTGACATCTTTTGCAACGATGAGAACGACTCTGAGTAGGAGTTCGGGCAGTGACCGCAAGAGCAGAATCAAGCTGAGGAGCCTTAGCTAGGTGGAGACGAGTTTCCTCAAACAGAATCTCCTGAATAGCTGCATCCAAGGTAGGAAGTGGATGCCGATGTAACAAAGAGGCACGAACTGCCTCATACTCTGGACGCAAAGCCATCAAGACTTGAATGAGGCGAAGATAATCAGGACTGATCTCTGCTTGATCCAACCGATGCCAAAGGGGTTGCACTTGGGTAAGGAAGTCGTTGATAGATTGTCCTGGTTCCTGTTTTAGATCGTGGAGAGTGCTCCATAACTGATAATAGTGTGCCAAACCAGTAGCACGGAAGCGGACTGCCAAGAAATCCCACGCTGCCTTGGCAGTGTCAAATTGGGCAAGCTGAACATGGATCGCCGGAATGGAAGTATTGCGCAACCAAGTGAGAATTTGATGGTTTTTACTATCCCAATCCTCCAATTTTTTAATATAAGATTCAACAACTGTGGCGGTAGGCGTAACTTCTCCTATAGAAACCGGAGCAATGGGGGCAACTATATCTCCTGTAACAATTCGCCACAATTTCCGACCTATCAAAAAACTTTTCATCGATTGTGCCCACAAACTGTAATTATCTCCGGACAGAACAACATTGATCGGAATATGTACATCCATCTTTTCCATAGAAAATCAAGAGAAAACAATATCTCAAACCTCAAGCCGAAAGCCGAAACGACAGAAACCGAATCAAACCCGAAACACAAAAAGTCAACCGGATACAAAAAACTGCTCAAACGGAAAAAGTGAAGATACCATCGCGGAGGAAATCAAATTCCGAACATGACGGTGCAAAGATCGCCGCCAACGGCCGCCGCACGGGCCTCCACGCACCGGCGAGGCGTCCGGCCGGAAAACACGTCGGGCGCATGTGAGGCTCACGCGCCGCCGTTCGCCGAACTGTTCCGGTGTCCGGCCGGTCTCGTGACGGCGAAGACGATGGTGGCGGCGGTGACGGTCGGAAGTGGTCGGAAATATGCTATCTGGAATTCGTGGGTTGTTTCGATTTGGTCGGGAAAAAGCATGGCTCTGATACCATGTTACGATTTATGGAATAAACTCTATTTTCATTAAGTCGTAACTAGGGTACAATATTATATTTATACAAGAGATATATTAGGTAGGATATATATATCAATATATAAAATATATATACAATATATATATCAACACAATTAGAATTTTATAATTCATCCATTTCGAAAGAAAGTACTTATTTACTTTTTTTTTTATATGTTGATTTTTTTTTTTTTTATTAGTATTTGGAATTCAAATATTCTCTTAGTACAACCTATGATGAGGTTTGGTCAAAAGAATGGGGTAAGAGACTTTTAGGTAATTTAAAAAGTCTTTAGGATAGATGTTTCATACTGAACACATTTGATGAGAAAAATGAATTCAATCGTGTTAATCCGACCAAAAAATAACATTAATCAAATTAAACTTGAAATATATATATATATATGTGAACAAAGTGTATAAATAAACAATAAAAAATGCATGACAATTTGACAAAAAAAAGAGTAAAAAGGGGATTTAACAAAAATAGAGAGAGCTCAATCAAGTTTGTTTGTTGTTTGATGTGTCTATATTCTCATGATTCAACTAATATATTTATATTTCTTTAATTTTTTTTTTTATAAATATTCTTCTATTAGTATTACGAGATAATAAAGAACTGTCTTTCTGATATAATAATTAATATTCAAATATCAATTCTAAAAAATAAATAAGATTTTTAGAGTTGGACGAAGTATATGTTTTTATATTTTATATTATATTTAAATTATATAGTATATATTAAGGGTATGTTTGTTTGAGGATTGAATTAGTGTTTGAAATTTGAATATAGTTGTTTAATATAATATAAATAAATATTGATGTTATGTTTAATATAAAAAAATAAATAATTTTCATTTGATTTGTTTTTTTAAAAAATGATAAATATTATAAATTTGATAAAATTTTATATAAAAACACACACGGTATAAAACACATCAATTAATAGTACAATTATTTCAATTGCAAAATTTATTATTCAAAAATAAAATTTAAAATTCAAGCTCAAAATCATAGCTAATTTGATATTAAAATAATATATAATGCGATATTTTATTTAAAAAAATTAAATTTTAAAATCCAAATAGTAAAAATCGGTTGTGGACAGTGTGGTAAAGAAAATACTCCAAATTTAACCCCATTTTTAAGTCCAAGCCAAAATGTCAATAACCCTAACCCCAAACCCAGGAACCTTAAACCTAATTCCCAATTTCCCATCTTCCTCTCCTCCTTCCTCCCTTGGACCCTCACTCCTCATCATCTTCTTCTTCCCCTTTTTTGGCTTTTCTATTGTGTGTTCTTTATGCGTTCGGTGACTGAGCCGCATATTGTAAGTAAAGATTTTTTATTTTTTATTTGTCTGTGAATTAACCTTGATTGTGTTTGATTGATTGATTTTTTTTTTTGATTGATTGTCTTTGGCATGTCTGAGAAACAGAGGAATCAGCAAAATGCAACATAGAAGGTCATATAAGATCAAGGCAGCATATTTGGGAACAGAAGGAAAGAGAGGTAAGTTGAGGTGGGATTGATAGGTAACATTGTGTGATATATTATATTTAATTTAATATTAATTTAAGCAGACTGCCTTGAAAAACAACAACGTGATCGGCTCAAAGAAAATCAGCAAACTTATATGTAGCTGAAGATGCAAACGATTCTGGACAGTGGCTGCAATAGCTCTCCATATGTTGTAGACACCGGAAACCTAGTGTCACTACAAGAAATTATCAATTTTGTAATGAAATTTTTTCGTTACTAAATTCACTTTTTCTGTTACTAATGATATTAGAGACGGAATTAGAGATGAGATGAAATTACGTTAGCTACGTGAACTTTAGGAACGAAATTCCGTTACAAATATACTAATTTTATTGTAGTGTGTGTTTAAACCCTGTCTCGCACGGTACATATACATATTTTTTCATTCATCCGGGTAGAGATCTATGATTTGAAGAAAAAGTAAAAGGAGATCCGAGAGCACATTGTGGCATTCCCCTATGAAGCAGGTCAAGATTGGAAACCAGATATATACATAAAGCAAGATAACAGTCGATTATCGACAAGCCCAACATTCCCTAAACGCCTCCCGGGTGGAAATTCGCGGCATTCAATACTTTAGCCTTTGTGTTCAAACTTTCCCCGGTTGACCCAAAATGTATGATCTATGAATATTGTCTAGTAATATTTTTGAGCTAAGAATCGCAATTTTTCTATTTTGTTCAATATATACTAAGTAAATTCTACAATACTGATCTGCCAAATTGCAACCCATTGGTGGATGAATGTGGCTATGAGTACATATAAAGAATTATCTCTTTCTCTATGTTCTTATTTAATTATTATGTAAATCATGCTTACGGTGCGTGTTTAAATTTTATGCAGTTATGGGTCGTCCACTTTGAGATGCTTTTGTGTGTGTGGGAGATATACAGGAAGGAAGCATTTAATTTGGCTAAATATGTTATTTATGTTTGATCAACCTGTAGTACTAGCTCATTCATATGATTATTCTTAAATTAATGTCTCTTTAATATCCATATAATTTGACTTCATTATAAATAATTGGCTGCGTTAGATAGTTTCTCTATTTTCTCATGTTCTACTCTTAACCGAAAGCTTTTTTCCATTTTGTGTGGATTTTTTATTGTTCCCTTCGATGGCATGCCGTGAATGACGTCAATATTAAGCTGTCACTAGTATTTATTATGTCTAGGATTTTGGTGAGTTAAATTTATTTTGTATTGTCAGCATACACAACAATAGCTCAAAAGTTGAAAATAAGCCTTTGCCTTGGTTGTGTGAAAGAAAAATATTCAGAAATTTGTGTTGCCATCATTCATAAGTCTTTGCCTCTGTTTGTTTGCAGTAGTAGTCCGTGCTTAGAACCTAGTGACATATAATTGTCTTATCTCTAGTAGCTGCATAGAAATCTTTATCCCAACATGAAAACATATAATAGGAGATCACCTTCATCTGCCCACTTGATTCTTGTATACAGTTGTATTGTATTTTCCATTCCTTTCAAGGTTTTTTGGATTTCAATTCATTCTTCGGCTACAGAAGGGCTGTACAGGATGGTCGGTAGGTGCTTGATTTCTTGAAACATGGTCTAGACAGTGCAGAGACGAGAGCCTTGACCTAGTACAGTAATATTTACCGATCTTTTCTTTAAAACCATCGAATCAATTTCAATTAAAATGCTTCATCAAAAATTAATTTTTCAGTTGACTTTTATGTTAGTTATTACTCCATAATAATTTTTACAGCTCTCCATTATTGTGCAGGGATACAAATTTAATCTTTAGGCTAAGCTTCTACAGTCATGATTGGAGACTGGAGATTGAAAGAGTTTGGGACGTTATTTTTCCATTTATAGAAAGAAATATCCATTTCATCTATTTGGAATATTTCTATTGGATACAGAAGCCTAAGTTTCTCATGTATGTTCAATCCCGTTTCAATATCTGAAGTAGGTGATTAGTACATTGTTCTTTTCCAATGCCAGACTTCATCACTAGTTTTGTTTAGTGTGCACCAGTATATTTACATGTAATGTAAAAATGGAGTAAATGATTCAACAAGTTAAGGTATTATGTTCTAACAAGCCAGCCTTAGAAATCTTGGAAATAAATTTGAAAGCGTACTGCAAGATTCTTTGGAGTTATGTTCTCTTATGCATCAGATGTTAAACCATATGGTTTTCCTTTTCAATTTATGACATGTTCCTGCACAATCAAGAAAACTACCGCAACAGCCACAAAACATATCTTCAAAGTAATAGCTTCAAGGGCCGAGGAAACTTCAGTGGTGGTCGAAGCAGCAGCAAAGGCTATCAACAATGAAGGGATTTGGGTAGTTGTCTCCAGATATAAAGTCAGTGTCTAAAATTCTTCTGAAGTATTACAACTGAGGGTCACTCCATATACATCCGGAGCTTGCCTCTAAACGCAACAGTTGCTCAGCTTGAAGATGTGTTCAAGAAATTTGGACCTATTAAGGCAAATGGGATTCAAGTTGGAAATAACAAGGTTGGCCAAACCACACAACATATTCATACTGTGTTTTTCGTATTTGCTTAGCATCTATTAATACTCTAATTTAAACTCCCATCCCTTTTTTACTGCTACAAGGGTTATGTTTTGGCTTTGTGGAATTTCAAGAATTCAGCTAAATTGAAAATTCAATTGAGATCTGAGCTCTTAAACCTTCTTTCTCATCTTTCCTTTTCCGCTCGTTTTCTGTCTTTATTAAATCCTTCTCCCTTTTGTGCGAATTGGTTTATTTTTTCCTTCAATGGGATGCCATGAATGATGCAAGTAGTGTAGTTGGCATATTGAGCACTCACTATTATTTATTATTTGTAGGATGTTGGTGAGGTAAATTAATTGTGTTTATCGGGTGTAATATGTACATGCATATCAGCATATACAACAATATATATAGCTTAAAAGTTGAAAATTAGCCTTTGCCTTTGTTGTGTGATATATAGAAAAAAAAATCCGAAATTTTTAATGTTCTCATTCAAACGACACATTTTCGTGTTTTGTTGGAGTTGAAAAAACACAATGTTGCTGAATTAGTTAGTTAGTTTCCATGTTTTGCCAATTGATTGTTTCAAATTCTGATTTTACTATTCTGATTTTTTTTTTCCAAAATTATAAAATCAAACACATTTTTGTTATTTATTATATTACAGTAAAATTAAATTTTATATTCAAAACTTCACATTAATACATATTTATATTGCTTCAAACAACTATTTAAATTAAAGTATTACTATTAAAAACTAAAACCCAAAATCAAAATCTCACCGGTAAATACACCCATAATGTGGCTGCATTAGTTGCTTTCCATGTTTTGCCAATTGGCCTTTTCAAATTGTTATAACTAATTCATATTTTCAAACTGTGCTATGATACGTGCTTGCGTTTTTCCGGAACCAAGATATATAAGCATAATGCCGATGCATTATAAATGAATGGCTGCATTAGTTACTTTAATCGTCATGCTAGTTTATTCTTAAAGCAATATTATTCCATGTGTGTGGAGAGTATCATTCCTTTAAATGTTAGCAGTGTTTTCATGGAGCAGTAAGACAGAAAACGCATCAGCACTGTGTCTTGACGGCCCTGGTTGATGTCAACATACCGTAGTCGATAACAATTATTATGTCTTCGGTGTTGGTTTGTTAAGATCATATTTTAACACATTTTGTATTCATAATTCAAATCACCCTTGCAAAAGCTCATCATTTTGAAATAAGTCTTTGCCTTGGTAGTGTGATAAAAGATATCCGGAAGGGTAATCTTCCAATGAAACCTGCTAATTAGAGATAGTTTGATAATCGAATGGTTAATGACAATAATAAATAGTTATGACTTCGATTTTTATCATACTGTGAGTTGTTGTGTTTGACTCTAATGTAGATTAGAAGGCAACTGGTAATGATTTCTCTGCTTCTATTGTCTGCAGTAGAGATTGCTGTTAGCAGACCGAGTCAGGACGGCAACGAGAGGCAGCCAGTATTCGACGTGCCCTATGTCTGTCTATACCAGAGGATCCCCGTGATCTAGGGAATCTTGTACAGGTACCGGAGCAGGAACAATCTCATGATTATGTGCGTCTGCCATGGGATGTTTCGTGAAGCATGGCGGTGGTGGCGAGGTCGCGCAGCTTCTGAAGCAATGTATAGCAATTTTCATAATTGAGTAATTCGTTAAAAAAACTCTTTCTTATATTCAAAACTAAATTTAAGCTCCTTCAAACTTTTATTTCATTATATAACTTTTGTGCAGTGGAATTAAAAATAATTTGTGTTATAGTATAATAATCTTTTATTATTATTATGTTTAAGGAAAATTTTAGAAGACAGAAAAATAGGTTTATAGTATATGAGATGAGATTCTCAGCGCTGGTGCAATTCAACCCCTTTAGTTATATCAATTAAATAAATTTAGTAGATTTAGATTTAAATTTGGTTATATCTAGATTACTTAGATTTAGTCTGCCTATATAGGCCCTTATTTTTTTATGATCATAAACACAATTTTATTATTTTCTCATATAACTTCTAACAAATTTAAAGTTAAAACTTATAATTTTTTTTTTTTTTTTTTTTTTTTATATTTAACTATTCTTTATCTATTATTAATTTATAGTAGCTTGTTCCTTTCTGCATCCAAACATATATATATATATATGTGTGTATATATACATTTTATTTTCTTTTTCCAAAATGTGACGGTGCATCTTGATCAACAACGAGATTTGTTTGTTTGTAGAATTACGGGTCATATTGTTGGAACTTATCAGAAATTAAAATATTTGTCGTGTCTAAACCGATTCCATTAGTGTTGTCGGATTCGAATCTACAAATTAATGAAGGGTTTTGTGTTATTCAAATCTATGGTACAACCCCTGTTGAGAAAACCCCTAGGGTTTCTGCCATCACTGATGTTGCGCTAGACCTTGGATCACATCCCTAATATATATCAGTTATTATTAATTGGTTTCATTACACAATTAATAAGTTACCGAGTTTCTGCACATAGGAGGCCCGTACTTACTAAATATATTTAAGCCCAATAAATTTAATAAATCAATTAATATAGGCTAGTCCAAATAGTTAAATTTAACCCACAATTGGTTTTTTAATCCAACAATCTTCCACTAGGTAAATGTATATTGAATAACTTTATGAGCTCATGAAAAATTAGCTATCATATCCTTTTTAACATATTTTACCAATCTTATATTTAAATCACATCAATATGGATCAAAGGTCATCACTCCATTTATTGCAATGAGACCGATCAGTGGTCACAACACTAATATAACTTAAGATTTGATAAGTGTGGATGCACAACATGAAAATGTCCTTAACATGTCTATTTCTAACTAATTCATTTAACTTTAATTCTAAGATTTGATCAAGTGTGGATGCACGACATGAAAATGTCATTAAATGTGATATTAGCACGCCTCTAACTAATCCATTTAACTTTAATTCAGAATAACTGAATACTGAATTAAAACTAAATACTGAACAATGCATACCAAATATTGTAGTATAAAATAAAATAACTTTAATAGTATTTAAACACTACTAATTAGCTCTCACTAAACCGAAATATCGAAGTATGGTTTCACTCTCAACCCTAAACCCTAAACCCTTAGGTGGCAATTGTTCATAAAATTAAACCCTAAACTCTAAACCCTAAAGTAAACACCAACTGAATGCAAATGAATGAACAAAACCAAATAGCAAGTCTTCCCATCGACAGGATCATAAATCTTACTCCCCACCTTCCTAACCTTGGGCACAGTGTTCTGCTGCCTAGGTGGTGGAACAACACTGCCCTCTCCGGCCGCCATTGAGGTTGCCATTTTTTCCGACTGAAGGAGATTTAGAGAAGTATGAGATGAGACAATGATGGTTTATCAAAACGATGATGTTGCTGGTCTGAGTAAGTTCTATGTATATAGGAAAATAAAAATAATGTTGTTACCATGCATATATTTTATGTAACACAAACAAATATTATTCATAATATTCTTTTTACGTGTTTTAATGCATCACTTCAAATAATATATTTACATCTTTACTTAACTCATGTATCCAATTGTACTTACCAATTATACCAAAATAATAATTTTATATTTGAAATAATATATTTCTATTTTTACTTAATATACAAAAAAAAAAAAAAACAAGTTTCTAATTGTATTTATCAATTACATCAAAATAATAATTTTACATTTTGAAATAATATATTAAACCGCTAATATTATTAGAATAAGTGTGAAAAACATTTTTCCCAAACAACACATTTTCAAAAAGAAATAAAATAATATACTACACATACTTATTATTTTTATATTACTTACGCAACTTCATGTACTTCACCTAAAAAAAAATATATTTTCAAACTATTTCACTAAACAAACAACTCTATTACGTAACATTTATCCACCAATTACATAAAAAAAAAAGAAAAATTTAAATTGTATTTGAAATAATATATTTATATTTTTAACTAATTCACATATCTAGTTGTACTTATCAATTATATCCGAATAATAATTTTAGATTTGAAATAATATATTTCTTTTTTCACTCGATACACACGCAAAAAAAAATAAAATTCAACTATATTTACCAATTATACCAAAATAATAATTTTAAATTTTGAAATAACAGTACAAAAAAAAAATAGTATATTTGTAATGAAATTTCGTTTATAAAGTTCACGTAGCTAATGTAATTCCATCTCCAATTCCGTCTCTAATATCATTAATAACGGAAAAAGTGAATTTAGGAACAAAAAAATTTCGTTACAAAATTGATAATTTCTTGCAGTGTAATATATTAAACCACCAACAAAATATTACAAGAATTGTCTGTATATTAGATAATGTTGGAGAAATAATTCGGATTTAATGAAAATGAGAAGAAATTAAATTTCGCAGGGTATACACGATCTTGGATATACTTTGAGCCACGTAGATTCACTTTCCTTACACGATATTTCAACCCTATCAACGCCCCGGGTTACACGAAATTCGTACGAGGATATAACAAAGTAACACTCGAATTTTAGGCGAAAAATTGAGCAAGTAAAATGTTGGGAGATTATTTGCACGCAGATTAATTCTGCATACAAGAATCTGCATAATTTTTGTTCTTCAGAATTTAAGAAGATAAGTTTTATTTAACAAAGATTGAAGTCTCTATTGAAATAAAAGATGCACCTTTCTTGCAAATCTGAACACACTCTTTGGAATGAATAAATCAAGTGGGTTCCAATCTTCTAAACGTGAGTTTTCCACATTGAATTAAGCTCCCAGCATTGTACTAAGAGGGAATTGGGTGTCTCACCCTAAGACACTTTAATGAACTTTAACCATCCCGATAACATATTGTATGTCATTTTCTTGGCCAATGAATGTGAGTGATTCCACTCTATACAATTCGACATACAAAGCTTCGGATTCATGATAATTCAAAAAACGCTAACATTTTACGAATGATAGATGACAGCCTCACGCCTAACCGCAATTTGCCATCCTCAGCCATCGAAATATTACTCCCAACTTTGTGCACAAATAATAATCCCAATAATTATTTTTGTTGTCAAATTATTTGACGTAGGCCACATTTAATTGAAGTCAAAATATATTTGACGATTCTTAAAGTGTGCCCAAGTGATTATCAAATAATCACTAATGCACAATTCTCGTAAAAGAATTACGAGCCAGCCCTTCACAAATTAATTTATACAAAATTAATTCTAGGGATACCAAAATTCATTCCATATGTTTTGCAAACACATTAATTAATTTTCTCAAATTAATTATATGACATTTTGGCAAAACAAAAGTAGGTTCAATTTATAATATTCATATATGTATAATATTGGACCCTTGGAATTTTAATTCCATACTCAAAAGATTTCTGCACCCCCTTTCCAATATTGGTCAATAAATCTCATGTTAATTTTAATTTGAGAATTATATCCACCTCCCCGTATCCTTCGTACAGAAACTTGGAGGAAAGAAACCTTTAATCATACTTCCTTCCATGGTATTGTTTGTTCACAAACCGCCATAAAATCCGAGGAAAAAGTAATTGCATACAACATCATTTCTCAATGCTGCTCTACTGCTTCCAATCTACCCCACCATGGACTGCAATTTTTTTTTTGTTAATCGTTAAAATGATCGATGATCAATTGCACAGCAGAGAAGCGGGAAATTCATTGCCGACTGTCCTACCCCAACCTAATAAAAAAATGTCTGCATTCTTTATCAGATGCAATTTTTATTCTCTTAAATTGATATTTTGTACCCTCGTCTGTTCATTTTTCAAAATTTAAAAATAAATTCTATGGATTTGATCATTGGAAATAATAGATTCCAATATCCTCAAATTTGGAGATTTCCAAATTTCATTTTCATATCCGCCAAAGTATCGCATCAAAGATCTTTCGAAAATATCGTATAAGATTGTTGGAGAAATAATCCGGATTGAATGAAAATAAGAAGAAATCAAATTTCGTATGGTATACACAATCTTGGATATACTTTAAGTCGCGTAGATTCGCTTTCCTTATACGATGTTTCGACCTTATTAACACCTCAGGTTACACGAAATTCGTATGAGGATAAAACAAAGCAACACTCGAATTTTAGATGAAGCAAGTAAAATATTGGGAGATTATTTGTGCACGCAGATGCATACAACAAGAATCTGCATAATCTATGTTTTGTCAGAATTTGAGAAGATAAATTTTATTTAATAATCTTTGAAGTGTCTATTCAAATAAAAGATACACATTTTAAATTTAAATTTTATTTAATAATCTGCACATTTTAAATTTAAATCGCAAAAATTGCCAATTTAATTTAATCTAAGAGATTAAATCTCTTCAATTTAATTATTTAATTAATCTGAATTTTGAGAGTTTTATTCCAGAATTAATTTAATTTAAAACAATTTCCAAAATATATCACAGAAAAAACTTGATTTTTCATACTGCAGTATATAACTCTCTTTTATCATGGACATGACTAAACCATCATTCCATATACAAATTCATGTAATTAGTAGATTTTTCGTTCAAAATCATATAGGCATTCTCAAGCGCGCACCCCATGCCACATTATTTATCTTCAAATAAATCCAGTAACAACAAAATAATCAACAGATAATATTTTTACGTAATAATAAATTTTATTACTATCTTCTAATTATTTTAATTTTTACCCAGAAAAGTAAAATTTTTATCAAGTTGTATTTACCAATTACATCAAAAAAAATAAATTTAAATTGTATTTGAAATAATATATTTCCATTTTACCCGAATCATAAAAAAAAAATGTATCGAGATGTACTTACCACTTACACCAAAATAATAATTTGAAATTTGAAATAATATATTTTATTTTTAATCAATACAGAGAAACCAAAATATTGTATTTATCAATTAAACCAAAATAGTAATTTCAAATTTTGAAATGATATATTAAATTGCATAAAGAATATTACACTGATAATATACGTCAAATTTATACATGGAAACAACATTATCTTTACTGTCTTATATATATATATATAGAACATATACAGACCAACAACATCATGTTTGGATCCACCATCATCCGCTCAGACTCCTCCAAGTCTCTCTCAGTCGGAAAAAATGGCGACCTCAATGACGGCGGACAGGGCAGTGTTGTTCCACCACCTAGGAAGCGCAACACTGCGCCCGGGGTTAGCAAGGTGGGGAGTTGGATTTATGATCCCGTCAATGGGAAGACTTGCCATCAGGTATTATTCATTCATTTGCATTCAGTTGCTGTTTAGTTGGAGTGAGGGTTTAGGGTAAAATTGGGGCTGAATTTGTTTGTTTGATTTGTGGACTGTCTACGATGTTCTAATTTGTGTGGTAATTGTGGTGCATGCATTGATGCAAGTAACCTTGATTGATTGTGAGATTGATGTGTTGCACGGAGCTTGGAGGTAAATAACATTTTCTACTTGTTAATTTAGATCGTAATGCAATTAATGTGAAATTAAATATAGAGATCAAATGGTGAAGTAACCTGATTTTCTTGATTTGGACAGTTTAAAGATTTACATTACCTTTCGTTGATCTTGAAGCATGTTGTAAGCCTGACTTGAAAGATTCAGGCAAATAGCGAACATGGAGGTTATCGGTTGGGCTCTTATTTGTCGTTATGCATTAAATTAAAAGTTGAGTAGTTTACTGAATGTAGGAGTACATTTACTGAATCTTGAATAGTTTACCTGTTGTGATAGCTTTAAATCCTGGCATACAAGAAAGCATATTGTGAGTGGAGAAGATTATGCGCAGATCATTCATAGATTGAGACAACTAGTGTGGAAAAATAAATTATCTAGTGTGGCAAGTCACGACATTTAGTCTGTTATTAATTTCTTGCTTGTTTTCCTGAGGCTTTAATATGCTTGGTGAAGCTTTTATGACTTATCTTCTGTGAAACAAGTTCTCTAAATTGTTTTCATTTTCTCGAATTTTTATGCTTGACGTTTGGACGTGTTGGCAAAAGACCCTGGATCTTGTGGTAGCATGCAAGTTTCAGAGGATTACCAAACGATGCCCGATTATGTATTGTCACAAGTGTCACTGGAACAGGTTATTTGGATCATCTTTTCATTATGATAATTTTAAATTCAACACTTTATTGTATATTTGTATAATCTAAAGTTATTTTCATGATTTTTTCCAAGTTAGATACGGCGAGAGGGCTGAAGAAGTAGCGAGTTTGGAGCAGTGGACTTGCCCCAAATGTAGGGGCATTTGCAACTGCAGCTTTTGCATGTGAGTCTTCTGAATTATTTTCGAATGACTAATTTGCAGCATTTTTCTGATGGCGTAATTATGCATTGATAGGAGAAAAAGAAATGATAATCCCACTGGTGTTTCCGCAAAGAAAGCAAAAGCTAGGGGATTTTCCTCAGTCGCTGAAATGCTAGTTAAAATGACGCCCCAAGACAGAGCTACTGAAAAGGTAGCTTCTTCTATGGTTAGTTACTGACGGAATCTGATTTTTGGTTGCCAGATTGATCATATGCTCTCCCTTTGAGATTTGTAGGCCCGTTCGTCCGGAGAGGGTTCTACCTCTGGCGAGAAGAAGTCAATTGATCCTTATAGTTGTCAGAAAAGAAAGCCAGATTGTGGTGCAAAACATGAACCTGAAGGGAATGGTTCATGTGGTCTTCCCCTGCCAGAGGGAGAAGTGGTGAGCAGTGTGGGTGGAGTTGACTTACCCACAGAAGATGCCGGGAATGCCATTCAGTTGATGGAATTTTGTGCTTCTTTTGGCGAGGCAAGTATCCTTATGTTCTATTTATGTGTTAATGATGTTCATTTTACTTAGTTCCGACCCCATGTGTATATTATTGCCTTCTCCTTTGGTCACCTAAAACATATCAATAAGATTTATGATATTTACATGATAACCAACATTTTATTGAGCTAATATGGTAGTGATGGTTAATCACATTGGTTAACAGAAAGTTAACCATGTTTGCCTATTGATAGTATATTTGTATTTGCTTTTCTTTTTTCATTGTTTCTTTTGGTTTCGGGTGGACAGGTCTTGGATATTAAAGAGAAGCAAGCAAAACTTATACTTCAAGATATTTATAATTGTTGGGAGTAATGCTGATTATGTATTTGATTGATTATATAATTAGTTATATATTATAATTTGTAATTATTTATTCCATTAATTTCCTAGGTAGTTATGTCTATTTAGAATTCAAATTTAAAATTGTATGTTAGTGTTGAAAGGTCGTGTCTATTAGAATTATAAGATTGTATGCATTGGTCTTGTAGGATGTAAAAAATATACACATGGTGTATCCGTCGGTTTTTTTTTTTTTTTTTTATCATAGAAATCATTTAGATTTGTTTTGCATATTCCCGATCTTTAATTTGTGAATTTAATTTCTAACACTTGGTATCAGAGCCAGGTTGATGCCCAAGTATCTCAAACTGAAAAATATGTCGATAGAAGCAGAAGGAGGAAAGGAGGGCGGTTCAGTCCCGTTTCAATGTCCCATGTTAACTCCAAAAAATTATACGACATGGGCGATAAAGATGGAAGCCATAATGGATGCTCAGGGGATCTGGGACTCCATCGAACCACCGGCCAGAGAGGCGGTGAGCGATAAAAAGAACAAGATGGGTGAGCGATAAAAAGAACAAGATGGCTAGGGCTTTTATATTCCAAGCAGTTCCAGAAGACATCCTTCTGCAAGTGTCGAAGAAGAGGACCGCGAAGGAAATCTGGGAGGCATTGAAGACAAGATATCTTGGAGCTGATCGGGTGCAAAGGGCAAGACTGCATACGCTGAAGAGTGATTTCGAAAGGTTGCGAATGAAAGACGGTGAGACGATAGATGAATTTGCTGGAAACTTGAGCGCCATGGTATCGAAATTTAATAATCTTGGTTCAACAATTGAAGACAATACACTTGTTCGGAAACTTCTTGATTCAGTTCAGGACATGTATTTACAATTGGTTGCTTCAATTGAACAATGTTGCGACTTAGATACCATGCCATTCAAAGAAGCTATTGGCCGACTCAAGGCTTATGAAAATAGGGTGAAGCTTCGTAGTGGAAATAAAGTAATGAGGTAAGTTTATTACTCACTAAGACAAATTTCCAAAAAAATCAGAATACTTCGGGAGGAAGTTGGGCTCCAGGTGGAAGAGGACGTGGATCTTACCATCATGATAAAGGCGGCCGGTATGGTGGTCGTGGTAGAGGAGGCGGACGAGGAAAAAGTGAACATGTCAATTTTATACAATCTCGAGATTCCAGGTATAATCAACACAAGGGCAGAGACAAGCGCCACATAAAATGTTTTAATTATGAAAAATTTGGGCATTATGCGTCAGAATGCAAGTCATCATCGAAGGATAAAATGAAATAAATCTAGCCCAAGCGCAAGAGGAGGAACCTGCACTACTTTTAAGTGTTTACGGGGAAAACACAAATACCTAAGGTATTGCTTAATGAAGATAAAGTGCTCCCAAATCAGAGTGAAAGAGATAGTGATGATGTATGGTACTTAGATAATGGTGCAAGCAACCCTTTTCCCTGAACTTAACAAGGAGATAATGGGTCAAGTTTGTTTTGGTGACGGGTCCAAAGTACAGATTGAAGGAAAGGGATCCATCTTATTGAAGTGCAAAAATGGCGAACACAAAGTTATTTATGAAGTGTACTACATTCCAGCCTTGCGGAGTAATATTCTAAGCTTAGGGCAATTAACAGAGGAAGGATACAAGGTAGAAATGTTGAATGAACACTTGAAGGTTCATGATGAACATGGGAAATTGATCATGAAGGTGCAACGGTCGAAAAACCGTGTGTACAAGATTAATCTTCAGACCATACAAGCAGTTTGTCTTGCCATAAGCCTCGATGATGAAGCATGGTTATGGCATGCGAGGCTCGGTCATATAAACTTCGGGATATTGGAGTTGATGGTTGACCAAAATATGGTGCGTGGTGTGCCAAGAGTGAAGCACCCGAAAAAAGTCTGTGAAGGGTGCTTGGTCGCTAAACAAACTCGCCAACCTTTTCCAAAGGAAACTGAGTATCGTGCTTCATCCCCACTGGAACTAGTCTATGCAGATTTGTGTGGACCGATATCACCACAAACATTAGGAGGAAATAATTATTTTCTGCTGATTGTAGATGACTACAGCAGGTTTATGTGGGTTTACATTATCAAAACAAAAGATGAGGCATTCCCGGCATTCAAGAAATTCAAAGCACAAGTCGAGAGTGAAAGCGCATATAAGGTAAAAATGCTAAGGACTGACCGAGGAGGTGAATTCACATCACAACAATTCAATGAATTCTGTGATAAAGAGGGCGTGAAAAGGCAACTCTCGGCACCATACAGCCCACAACAAAATGGGGTTGTGGAGCGTCAAAATCGAACTGTTCTTGAAACAACGAGATCCATGTTAAAGGCGATGAGTGTACCAGAAAATTTGTGGGGTGAAACAGTCCGACATGCAGTGTATATTTTAAATAGAGTTCCGACAAAAGGTTTGAAGAGCATGACACCGTATGAGGGCTGGAAGCGAAAGAAACCATCTCTTGAACATGTCAAGATTTTTGGTTGCATTGCGCATGTGAAGACATCAACGAATCACTTAACAAAATTAAGTGATCGAAGCTCAAAAATGATTTATATGGGAGTCGAACCTTGTAGCAAAGCATATCGTCTCTATGATCCTCTTCGAAATAAGATATGTGTTGCACGTGATGTAATTTTTGATGAAAAAGCCAAATGGAATTGGAGTGAACAGCAAGGCACTCAATCAAGCACAAGATTTGGATGGTTTAATGAGCACGTTCCTGGTGGAGATGAAGGTGGTAGTCGAGATCCAGTTGGTGATGGAGTTGAAAGTCCAATACATCAATTCGAAACAACTAATGACCAGACTCCGCCGTTATCAGTGACAAGAAGTGCAGACTCCTTAAGGAATTCAGCCTTTCGAGATAGTCCATTGATTCAGACATCTGATGGTAGCCAAGAAGCCAGTCAGACAGCATTCGATCACACACCCATTCGTGGGTTTCGCTCTCTGTCAGACGTTTATGCACAATCAGATGTTGTAGAGGGTGAAGGAGAAGAATTGATGTTTGCTGGAGAGGAGCCAACATCATTCCAGGAGGCGTCTACTGATGCAAATTGGAAGGAGGCGATGCAGAAGGAACTTGAAGCAATAAACAAAAATCAAACATGGAAATTGACAACACTTCCCCAAGGAAAGAAACCCATCGGACTGAAATGGGTTTTTAAATTAAAGAAAGATGCTGAAGGCAATATTGTGAAACGCAAAGCAAGGTTAGTGGCAAAGGGATATCTACAAAGACAAGGAGTGGACGTTGAGGAAGTGTTTGCACCGGTGGCTAAACTTGAAACTATACGGTTGCTATTGGCGTTGGCAGCTTCGCAAGGATGGCATGTCCACCATTTGGATGTAAAGTCGGAATTTTTGAATGGTATTATACAGGAAGAAGTGTATGTATCCCAACCTGATGGTTTTGTTGTCACAGGAAAGGAAGCATTTGTGTATAAATTACACAAGGCTCTTTATGGATTACGACAAGCCCCAAGAGCGTGGAATATTCGTCTTGACAGCGCACTAAAAGGACTTGGCTTTCAGCGGTGCCCACAAGAGCAAGCTGTGTACAAGAAGTGCATGTCTAAAGATTTGTTGATAGTTGGCGTGTATGTAGACGATTTGATTGTGACCGGAACAAGTGAAAGGCTGATTTGTACATTCAAAAGGGAGATGCAGAATGTGTTTGATATGAGTGATCTTGGAAGACTCTCATACTATTTGGGAATCGAAGTTCACCAAAGTGAGAAAGGGATCACAATTGATCAAAGTGGGTATACTAAGAAAATATTACAAACTGCACGAATGGCAGATTGTAATCCGTTGAAATATCCCATGGAACCAAAGTTACACTTATCTAAAGATGAAGAAGGTGTACCAGCAAATGCAATGGAGTATCGAAGACTCATCGGAAGCCTAAGATATATCACTCACACTAGACAGGATCTCAGATATTCGGTGGGGGTTGTGAGCAGGTACATGGCATCACTGAAAGAAAGTCATTATAAAGCAGTTAAGCAAATATTGAGGTATATCAAGGGAACGATGAGTTATGGACTGTTTTATGATAAGGGATGCAATGGAAGATTACATGGATATAGTGATAGTAGCCATGGTATGGATCTATATGATCGTAAAGGTACAACCGGCATGGCATTTTATTTTTCGGGCAACCTTATCACTTGGTGTTCGCAGAAGCAGCGCACTGTCGCTCTCTCCTCTTATGAAGTTGAATTTATGGCTGCAACTTCAGCGGCATGCCAAGCATTGTGGCTACTTAACTTATTGGTAGACTTGACTGGTTGGGAAGCTCAATGTGTTAAATTATACGTGGATAACAAATCTGCCATATCCTTGATGAAGAATCCGGTCTTTCACGGAAGAAGTAAACACATTGATACCAAATTTCATTTTATTCAAGAATGCGTTGAAGGGGGTTCGATCTATGTAGAGCATAGCAGTGGAGAAGAACAAAAGGCTGACATCTTGACCAAGGCACTACCCAAACTAAAGTTCATAGAGATGAGAGATTTAATCGGAATTGAAGATTTGGAACACATAGAAGCAGAATTAAGGGGGAGAGTGTTGGGAGTAATTCTGATTATGTATTTGGTTTATTATATAATTAGTTATATATTATAATTTGTCATTATTAGTCCATTAATTTCCTAGGTAGTTATGTTTATTTAGAATTCAAATTTAAAATTGTGTCTGTTAGTGTTGAAAGGTCGTATCTATTAGAATTATAAAATTGTATGCATTGGTCCTGTAGGATGTAAAAAATATACACATGGTGTATCCGTCTGTTTCTTTTATCATAGAAATCATTTAGATTTGTCTTGCATATTCCCGATCTTTAATTTTTGAATATAATTTCTAACAATAATTTCAGAACTGGAAGCAAATGAAGTATTTCTTCTAATGTCCTGTTTCATATTAACCTCCTCTCTCATTTACTGGAGCATCAAGGGGAAGAGTATGTGTTGCCGCTCCACAACAAATTTTCCTGTATTTCATTTACCTCAATGACTTGACAATTGGTTGCTTTTTTATTCTTGAATAGGTCTGTGGAACTCAGCACATCAGATAGGGAGAACTCATGGTTTGATGTGCTCAAGAAATGCTTGTCTCCATCACAAAGTGTTCTTAAAGCACAGAGAGTTGATTCTCTGGAGACCACAGATAATTATGATACTTTCACTGCTTCGGAAAAGCTTTGGCTTTTAAACATTCTCTGCGATGAAGCCCTTGCAACCGAGTAAGTATTGTTTCCCTTTTATTTCATTTTTCATTATGATAGATTTTTAAGTTCACTTGTCTACAATCTACATTTAATTTTTTTTTTTTTTTTCACTGGATAGAAAAATGAGGAGTTGGATGGAAGAAGATAATGCAAAACTTTCCAGCAAGGTCAAGGAAGCTAAACCAAAAATTAATGCGGCAATGGATAGGTAATAAATACTGGTAAATAATATTCTAACCTTGACTTCTACTTCTCAGATCTTTCATTCTCGGATACCT